GTTGCTATAAATAAAAAATCCTATGCTGAAGACTGCTTCTTCACAAATTATCACATCTGTGGTTTGACATTATTCTTAGCCAAGAAACATGTCTCCATGCTTTGTGCGTTGTGCTATTTTGAATTCCAGTCCACCTCCTGGGGCAAGGCCATTGCGGGCTGGCCCTGCAGGCTGGCTCAGCACATGCTTTAGGGCTCCCGCAATGTGGAAACGCCAAAGGATTTTAGAAAAGTTGTACTTCAGTCTGCTAGCCATAATTTGCAGTCACAGAATCCAGCCGCAAGAAGCTCTTTTAGTATCAGCAAACAATTTGGTTTTGTGTTTCTCTGCTGAGAAGTGCTTTTATTTTGAATTATATTATATCATGGTGCTGGCAGCAGGGATGTGGTGGCACAGTGGACAGCAGTGGGGTGGTGGTGGGGATGGGGATGGTGAGGTGATAATGGTGGTGGTAACAATATGGTGGTGTTGTTTGAAGGCTTTGCATTCTGATCAGCACCGAGAGCCATAATTGGGCTCTGAGGATTCCACGCTGCCTTTCCCATTGCCCGGATTTTGGGCTGGGGGCAGGATATATTGAAGTTGACAGAGACCTCTGACTGCCTTACTGACCATTGCCCTATCCAGAAGCATGCATGTGATAGAGACATATTTGATCTATTTTTGTTTTGGGGCAAAGGGAAGAAAGAGAATAGGAGAGAGTTGAAACACTGCGATCCAGTTTTGAGTTCAGGCCAGCTTCTAGTCGGGATTGTAAATGGCCCAGGCAGTATCTTTAAAGATCTTAAAAGAAGGGAATTTGAGATACCCAGCTACTGTTTCAGTTCGCTTTTCATTGCTGAACTTCTCCAGTGAGAAGCTTTTGTTTCTGTTTCCTCTTCTGCCATGACCTTTGTCTTTTACAGTCCATAATCTCTTTATTTCTACATGGAGATTTTCTAGCAGTGTGAGCTCGGATAGTCCTTCTGTGAATGCTGTTCCCCTTGCCTTTCCTTCTTTCCCCCATATATTAGCATCTGGTGCACCAGAGATCACGGGTTTTATTTATTTATTTTTGTTCTTTGTCCTTCTACAAGAATATACATTTTATGAAGGCAGAAACTTTTTTTTTTAATTATTCACTGTTTTATTCCCAACACCTTCAGTGGTACCAGAATTAGGGGTATTATAAGCCTAATCTCATATACCATTAATTACCAGGAGGATGAAACAAAATAATATAGGTAAACTGTCTGGCAGGCCTGGCCTGGCATGGTGAGGGCTGGTGAATTGTTTGGTTCTTCTTGACATTCTTCTTTCCTGTAACTTCTTTCTCTTCAGCATTCAGAGTGGCAGCCTGTTTAGCTTTTTGCCTCCTTAGTGATGTGTCCATTTTCTTCATTGCTCTTCTTTCTTCTGCCCCATAACTGGCCACTTCCAGAAACCTAATTAGTGGTCCTGAGGAAGGATGTCCCAGATTTTATCTCTGCTTATTCATTCATAGGCTTCCATTATTGTTATTAATAAAATGTACAACTACTTATTATCATTATGATGGTATTTTATACATGATTGTAGAATGCACATATTACTTTAATATAGTTAACAGTAGTAATAAACATTGACCTGTCCTTCCCATGATGAATTGCCCATGAGTAGTTATTATCATCTTCACTTTATAGATAAGGAAACTGAGGCTTAGAGATGTTAATATCTTGCCCGTGGGTACACATCTCTCCTAAGTGGTGGATGGAGAAGTCATTCTGAGATCTGTTTCTTCTGTTTCTCACTTATCCATCCATGTGAAAGGCCATGTGGCAGTCACGATGCTGTGCTCTGGCCACACAACAGGGAAAAACGGGTGTAGAACCTGTGATAATTGCTCGTCGCTTTGACTGTCACCACTCTCATGCTGCTGAACACACTGTAGAGCGCCCCATTCTAGGGGGAGCCTTGGTTAGGTATTTTCAATTCCCTATTTTAGCCTCACCTCAAGTTTTGAATATCTAAATCTAAACTAATAAATTACCTGTCTTTATGCCTGCTCCTCACCAAAATTACATACTTTTGTATCTCCATTAGAGAAACCACACGTCATTTTTCTTGTCACACAGGCTCAAGACTTTAGATTAATTTTCAATTTCTTGTACTTCATAGCTTGAATCCATACCCAAGATCTCTCGATTATTTTACCTTTGGAAATGTTTCTCTGATCTGTCTCTGCCTCCTCAGTTTCTCTCTACCATTCAAACACCAACTCCTATGTGCTGGTCCCTGATTCACTGAAATAGCATCAAGGCTGAAAGTTAGTTTTGTGCTGTGCTTAAGATTCCACTAATTGTAAGACTCCTAAAGGCATACAAGCAGCTTACTGATTATTATCTCCTCAACAATGTACCAGGCACTTAGGAAATACTCCAATGACTAATAAATTAAAGCATTTTTATACTTAGACCACAATTCTCTAACTTGATCTTGAGTTTATGAGTATTTTTTTTGAAGATCATGTGAATATATTACTTGTAGGCTATTCTGTGCATCTCAACAATACATATAATTTAATTTTATTTATTTTTAATCTTCATCCAAGGACATGCTTAGAGAGGAAAAGCGAGAGAAATAGAGATAGAGAGTGAGAGGGAAAAACATTGATCTGAAAGAGAGAAACATTAATCAGTTACCAGCAACCCAGGTGTGTGCCTTGATCAGGAATCAAACTGGCAACCTTTCATTGCACAGGAAGATGCACAACTAACTGAACCACTCTGGCCAAGCCATACTATAGTTTTAAACCAAGTTTATATTTTCTTTCTTCCATTAATGTTCACTACTTGTGCATTTATTTTTCCATCTGTTGGCACCAAAGACCTAGAGAAACTTCTGCTTAAAACATAAATATTGCCCAGCCAACATGACTCGGTGGTTGAACATCAACCTATGAACCAGGAAGTCACCATTCGATTCCTGGTCAGGGCATATGCCCAGGTTACGGGCTTCCTCCCCCATGTGGTGCGTGCAGGAGGCAGCCGATTGATGGTTCTCATCATTGCTGTTTCCATCTCTCTCTCCCTCCTCCCTTCCTCTCTATAATTAATAAAAGTATATTTTAAAAAACATAAATATTGTTTTTATTAAAGAACAACACTTCTATTTTTCTGTTGCTACCATAATTTATAGAAACACAATTTGAGAACCACTGTAAATTACAAAGAAATTATGAGTCATGCAGTGTTTTAAATATTATGGATTAGAATAAATTAATCCCTATCCCAGGAGGGTTTCCCCATTTTTCAGGAAAGGTCTGCTTTGTATTTTCTGAAGGTCTGAAATCACTGTGTTTGTGGCTCAGAGTCTGGATGGGCATAGGATGGGTATGACAGAGGTCCTTCTTCTTATGTCCTCACTCTTCTCACTTGAACTCTCTCTCTCTCTGAGCTGCTGGTTTGGGACCCTTAGCCTTCTACCACACCCAGGAGGGATGTACTGGCTTGTGCAGGCATGGGAGACATTATTATGACCTTTACAATTTTGTGTGGCCATCTCTTTACCTTTCTCATTAGAAATAAATTGTTTGCACAGTTAGCAATGCCCATGGACTGAAAGAACTCTGCATTAAGACTATTTCAAAGTGAGGCTCATGGCATTTCTAAATGTGCATCCTGGCTTTCAAAAATCATTTAGAGGACATGTATGCTTTCTTGAGGTAGAACAACTGTAAATAATTATGTCCCCAAATACATCTTTTTTACAAATGACTGAACACTGAGTAAATCTTTCATTCATTAAGATAGCAGGCTTTTAAAAAAATATATTTTATTGATTTTTTACAGAGAGGAAGAGAGAGGGATAGAGAGTTAGAAACATTGATGAGAGAGAATCATCAATCAGCTGCCTCTTGTACCCCCCCTACTGGGGATGTGCCCATAACCAAGGTACATGCCCTTGACTGGAATTGAACCCAGGACCTTTTAGTCTGCAGGCTGATGCTCTATCCACTGAGCCAAACCGGTTTCGGCAAGATAGCAGGCTTTTTAATATGGATACTAACTGTCATTTACTAAGGTTATTATATAATAGTCTGCAAACTGCTGCAGAGAAAGTTTAATCTTATGTAATAGATGCCATTGGACCATAGCATTTGATGAATCATGAGTTGGAATTGAGCATCTACCAGTTGTGAAGTTTGTTTTTTTTATTTTTAAACGAAAACAATAAAAACACCCTACAAAAAAACAATAGACTTGCCTGTTTCAAGTTCTTTTTCTTCTATTGTTAACTCTGTGGTGGCAAAAACCAGCTTCACCATATTACACAGCAATTGCTATACCATTTATTGTGATAGTTTAGTGGCTGAAATTTCCAAAAGCTGTTTTCAGTGAACAAACGTGTCATTTTGTAACAACTGTATCAGATCACATTACATGCTCAGAAGAGTCCCTCTATGACAGTGGTTCTCAACCTTTCTAATGCCATGACCCTTTAATTCAGTTCCTCGTGTTGTGGTGACCCCCAACCATAAAATTATTTTCATTGCTACTTCATAACTGTAATTTTGCTACTGTTATGAATCGTAATGTAAATATCTGTGTTTTCCGATGGTCTTAGGCTCTACAGCAGTGATTCTCAACCTGTGGGTCGCGACAGGTTAACTGCTAGCAGGGTAGCCTAAGACCATTGGAGAGTCTGCACTATGAAGATCTGGGGGAAGAGCCTTCTGGGACAGCAAGGTTGAAGGTTTGGACAGGGAACCAGCATTATGTGTTAAAGAAACAGAAGGCCAGAGAGACTGGAGTATAGGGGACAAGGATGGGCATGATAGGAGTGGAGCCAGGGAGGCTGGCAGGATTCAAACACTGTAATGTGTTGTAGACCATTATGAAGAGTCTGGAATTTTTTCTATGGACAGTGGAGTACCGCTGAAGGTTTCTAACAGGTATATTCAGATCTGTAGTCACCAGCTTTAAATATGCCCGGCTGAAAGGTTTTTTTACATTGAAATAATTCTTCTTTGTATTTTATAGAATAGACCAGAGGGCTGCCATTTTGCCAAAGGATGCTTTTGAAACTCGGCGGGACTTAAATGAGGTAGGTGCAATCATTGTTTGCAGAAACACGAATTAGCCAATTATGAGAGCTATTACTTTTTCCTAGACCTAGGAATTCTTTCTGATGAAAAACAATTTTAAGTATTTTTGCTCTTAAGCGAACTTGTTTCCTTTGTCCTTAGGGTACTGTTTTTCCTTGCTCTGGAGCAGACACATTTAAAATATTATTTGCAGGCTGCTCACCATGTCTTGGACCTGAACCAAGTCCAGCAGTCATTTCATTGCACCCTTTCCCACTTTGGTTCAGGATTGGATAGCCAGGACTCTGACCCTTACATTTGTAAAATTTTTCTCTTAATTTGATTTCATCTCTCCTTTTATTCTAACAGCTTTTGCAGTCTCAGATATAATCATGCTTGCTATTTATCCATGGAACATGAGTCAGTGTGGTGCTGGCAACACAGCCTTAGTGTGTTTTGAGACTATGAAGCCATCTTTTCCAATCCAAATGGTTTCCCACCAAACTGGACATCATAGTGTTAATAAGCTTGTTTTGATTTTCTTTGAAATGTATAATGTAATTCTATTGGAAATCAATATAATAAAAGTGGGATTTCTGTTATGAATGCCTTGGCTTATGACATTGGTGTGTAATACTGCCTAGTTGTTTTTGTCCTCATTGTATAATTAAGGAGCAGTAGGTGGTATATCTGATTAGGATCATAACAAAAATAATGAAAAGATTTTATGTTCAAATGCCAGAAAGAGAAATAATGCGCTTTAGGCAAATTTTTTATTTGTCATTTGAAGATGCATCTCTCTTACCCTTTCAAAAAAGGAAGAAGTAATGAACTGACATTAGGTGATATTTTTAAAATGTAGAACTTGGTTGAAATGAATAGCTCAAGGTAAACTAGCTGCCTGATTGAATCAAGTTAAATAAATTGCTAAAGGTGTGGAAATCTAAAGATAACAATACAGAACACTGCTTGCTATTTCTTTGTGCCCGGAGACAGCCTTCAAACTTCACAATCTTATACATATATAATGGTAGCAAAAGTGGAAAAGAATTTAAGAGAAAAGAGGCAAGAATCTGAATCAGTGAACACACCTTTTTGCCCCACTGTGAACAAGCAAAATGCTGGTTGTAAAGAAATGATGATTTGCTTTGACACAAATGACTAGAAAAATGAGATGGTAGTAAGAGTCAACTTGTGATAGGTTTCCAATATTTGGGAGAAATTAGTTTGTGAGCTGGAAACTCATGAGATTACCGTATTTTCCGGTGTATAAGACGACCCCCTAATTTTACAGTTAAAACATAGGTGTAGGCCTATATTCGCTGTATAAGACTACCCCCCACTTCCAAGGCAACACCAGTTCTTTTTTTAATAGACCGCCTCTCTGACTCTGGCCAATCTGAGCAGGCTTTTTACTAGAGCACAGTGTACATGTTCTGTACCCGAAGGTCTCCTCTACTCAGTAACATTGATACATGGTGTGGCATATCTACCAATGAGCATCTGACTGTCTGTGATCCCCATATTTTCCCATGAACTAAAAAACTCACTTCTTGTTTTCACTTGGCTTGTGTATAGATTCAATTTCTGCCTGTCTCTTGTTTCTTCTGCTAGTCTCAAGCATCCAGTTTTTGACGTTGGGTACCTTAATAGAACTTGTGTTTCTATTTGATGAGTTTTGCTATCTCTGGGACTGTTTTAGGAGTTGGTTTCTGAAAAACTGCCATTGACCTGAGCTGTCAAACTCTGCCTCTGTGAGGTATCAGGAGATTTTATTTGTGGTAGCTCCTAGATCGTGAATGAAAAATATTCTAGACTTGAGATCTGTTAATGTCTTGTCTACCTTAATCCTTGGTTTTAGTTATTTACCCAAGTCCATGTAATTGATAGCATTTGATAGATCAAAAAGTTATTGAAGAACAAAATGAAAGAAATAAAATTGTTTTCCCTTTCCACATACTAATAGATCCCATTCCTAGTTTCAGTTCCAAGTAAGAAAATCAACAGATGTATAAAGAAAATTAATGGATCTTCCATATCCTGAGAAATCTTGTCTCAGTACTTTTCCACCTCCCAGATTGCATTTTATAAAGCACCATTATCAGCTCCTTTTAGTTTTTCATTTGTAAAATTGGGGCAGGAACTTTTGAATTGGGTTAACTCTAGGAGTCCTTTCAGTTTGCACACTTATGACCTCCCCCACATCCTTCCCTCCATTTTCCCAGTGCTTATAGAATTTAGTCATAGGTTTCCATCAGGGGTGGAATGAGATGAGTTTCCCCATGGTTACTCTGAGACAAGGCCTCCTCAAGGGCAGCCACTGAGGCCAGTTTTGGGGATTGAATAATAAATAGTACTATAAAAGTGAAATATATGCTTGACATATTTATCAGTCAAGAGAGAGAGAGAGAGAGAGAGAGAGAGAGAGAGAGAGAGAGAAAGTGAGAGAAAGTACCTATGTGATCCTAAGTGAAGAATTAAAGCTGATTGGGGGCCTGAAACAGTAGAGCTTTCCTAAGGAACAGACTGGAGCTTTGGATCAATTTGAACCTTCTGTCTAGTTCTGCCATTATACTTGCCCAACTCTTATGTCATCATCCTACAGAAGGAAATGGGCACATTTTTTAACTGATAAATATTTTGAAGGTATTCTGCACTTAACCTTTGCTGTGTGAATAAGAGTTTGTTTCCATTCACATTTTACCTGGAATTTTAACGATCCTAGAGGTAAGGTCAGCCACAAGGCAACTGGCCCTAAAAGACAAATTTGGTTTTGGTTGCCCTTCTATAGATTTCTTCTTTCCTTTCCTTTTGAGGCTTGCTGGCTATGAAACTGTCTTATGCTGACATAGACCAGTCTACAGTTTATCCTCTCTAGGCCTAAGGAGTCAATTTATAAATAATATTTAAAAAAAGTTTGCAATGGCTTAATAAGTTTATCTAAGAGGAGGTATGTCAAGCACAATGTAATGGGAAAATGAACAAAAGCCACACCAGTCTTTTGCTCAGAATAAGCCTTATAATGTGAGGATTTCAAAGTAGCTAATTATTAAGGGGATAATTGAGAGAAATACTTTTGGGTGATGTGTGTGTGTGTCCATCCCCGGAATCAAACTATGGAGATGTATTGTTCTCACTAACTAACAAAGACTCTAACTAGAATGCTTAATCATTAGAACAGAGAAGTCTAGAACTTTATCATAATTAAGAGGATAGAATAAGTTTACTTTCAGGGTTGAGAGGAAAAGAGAAAATAGATAAAGGTTGTTCTTAAAAGGTTTGAGATCCCGGAAGTTTATGTCAACTTGTTGAAATGGCCAGCCATAATTAAGTGGAAATGATATTATAATTGAAGGGACTGAGGAATTATGGGACCAGTTATTAGCATGTTTATGAGTCTGATGTTATAATAACTGAATGTAGAAAGGGCCACTGATGATGAGGAAGAAACCAACCTACATGGCAGTCATTGCATCATATGCATCCAGGTCATGGAATTGGAGAAGACATTGCCTTTTATAGGGGAGAAAACTGATGGACTTAGCAGTGAGGGTCAAAAAGAGTAATGCTAACCCATTCTTCCCACCCTGCTACCACCTATCTAACTCTGTGAGGTGGGGAATAGAAAAAGGAAATGGTTGCTGAAGTTGGAGAAAATTCTAGTTCTATTGCTCCTTCAAGAGAAAACTTGGCATAGAAACACGTTTTCCCTTGGTAACCAGTTAAACCAACAAATGCTCAATAATGATGTAACATCAATAACAAGTTAAACCTTTAATTTTTCATCATGGTTCTTATACTATGAAGGGGACATGTGTTTTTATTTAGGTGGCTATGAAAGAGATTATTTACCTAAAATCAATATGAAAAATTTACTTTACTTCACATGCTACTGTTACCCCTTATTTTTTGAAATATGCTGATCAAAATAGCTCAACATTAGCCTTAATATTAAAAATATCTTCCCTCTTTAAAGTTTATGAAGAATCCTTTAAAATTTAATTTTATTAAAAATAGACCAATTTACATATTTCTGGTGCATCCCCCTTTGAGCCTATATGCATGTGTCTATATGAGTCTCCATGTGATGGATGTGATTGTCTTTTTATTACCAGGCATGGTTTTAGCATATATTTTGGCATCTGGCCATATTACATTTCAAGATGATTCTTGCTATTTGGTTAAAGAATGTGTTTCTCCCTCAAAATTGTTTTAATTTTTTTTTTTAAATAAAAGATCCAGCAAAAGCTTTTTTAGTCCTTTGATAGTCCCAAGTATGCTGAAAGGTATTATTTCTATAGACTAGGCAGCTGTATTTTTCTATTGAAATGCAAACCCAGGCTATATGGTTAGGCCTTTGTTTAGGATTGATTGAGGATTCTTTTTTTTCCCCCTGAATAAGGGATTTTTTCCCCCTTGAGACTAAAAGTAAAGTCACCCTGGCTTTAATAAATGACAGGATGTTGTTGACTCACACAGCTGAAACGTTAGGATTGGAATAGGCTCCATGCTTGGCTAGATACAGGGATTAAAGACTTGTATAGATGCCATCTGTGGACCCTGCCTCCCTATATGGACTTTATCTTTAGGTCAACATCTCTCTAGGGACACATTATTCTTACTGCTGGTAATTCCAGTGTGTATTAGTTTTTCTATCAGTGTAACAAATTACAAAAAAAAAAAATATTTAGAAGCTACAAACACCCATTTATCAGTTCTCAGTAATATAGGTCATAAACCTGAGCAGACTCCATTAGAGTCTTTGTTCAAGGTCGCACAAGACTGAAAGGCATTGGCTGCAATGGCCTATTATCTGGAGGTTGGGAGAAGAATCCATGTCCAAGCCCATTCAGGTTGCTGCCTGAATGTATTTCCTTGAAGTTGTAGAGTGTGGTCCCCATTTCCTTGTTGGTCATCAGCTGGAGGCATCTAGAGGTTGCCCGTATTCTTCCTCACATGGATCGTTTCGCCTGTGGGCCAGCAACACTAAATTCTTCTGTGCTCTGAATCTCTCAGATGC